GAATATAGACAAATATGGCAGTTTTACGGGGAAAGCGTCAACACGATAAATTTGCATATTCAAAGTTCGAAACTGGCATTTGAGCAAAATTCAGAGCGATCCTACAGTTAAGAATGAGGAGGTCCTAAAAATGTCTATGCTTATTCTGATACACTGGTCCTAGGAGTAAACAAATATGATTATCTCGCTTTTGGAATGGTCTGGACTTTCAAGAAAACCTGACGTGAATATTTGTATTATCGCGTCCGCATTTAGATTTCTAAATTATAGGCTCTTTTGAAAAATCATTATTTAATGTACTTCCAGCCAAATGCTAAGATTTTTACAGAAATGAAAGCAGTAGAGTAGCTCAGTATTCTGTGAGAAAATTATTTTAATCAAGTAAAAATCATGAGTTTTAAGAGACTTCAACATAGGGCCAACATTTGCATATCGAAAATGGCAATTTTACTGGATTCGACCGGCATGGAAAGATGACTCTAAAAATATATAAAAAAGCCACTAAGACAAAAAAGATTGTCATATTTTTTCATTACATAGACTGGTTGTCTAGCACAGAAAGTTTGAGGGAAATCCGTTTTTCAACAAAAATCGAGTGGTCGGTTCTTACGCGGACAGCCTCTTAATTTGATCCACATGATCCATTTTCACCATTGTATAAAAACAAAAGGTATGAATTATCGACAGTAAGATTACTGTTGACGGCGAAGTACACGAAGCACAAAAAATTAAAAGCCTTCACATTTCGCTTACCTTTCAGGGCATCGGCGATCGTTATCTCAGCCCCAGACTGCACAATGATCTCCTTTTGGCATCACAGAAGTTTGTGCTTAATTTGTACTCAAATCGAATAAATTACAGACTTTTTTAACACGAAAACACGATTCAACTTGATACGAGCTTTAAAATTGCCCCCTGAGTGGACTGGTAACTACACGGCTAATCCCGTCATGCAAAGGGAGCATAGCATTAGCAAAGTGGTGTATTGCATTGGTAGCAAGGACACAGAACACATGAGTACATTTAATTTCATCCCTCCCTTTGTGTCGTATTTAACAACTTGATTGTGTGTTAATCAAAGGTTCGGCATAACTCGCATTAGATTACAAATAATTTTTAAAGTAGCATTTTTAAAGAATAAAGTTCATTGTAACACAACAACAAGACATGATCATAAGACGACATTGTTATGCAGAAACCAACTGTTTTAGTGGGTTTAATGTAACACAACAAAAAGCGACCATAAGAGATTGTTCAGTAAAGAAACCTACTTTTTAACTGACTTGTATTCTCGATTTTTACAGGCATCCGGAAGATGGAGTCGCGGATTTTTTTAAAAACTATGGAATTTTTAATAAAGCTGGCACAAAGAAAATGACACAAATTGATGACACAACCTACGTCAATAAAGCGATACAAATTTAACAATGAACAAAAAACACAAGTTTGATACAGGCATTATATATTGGAAGAATGGCCGGGAATACTGAACTGTTGTGGCAAAACGTTTGAGCATGGTGGTTCTTTTAAATACCACATTGAAAAGGACCACATCAAGAGCAGAAGATATGGCCTGGAAGATGGAATCGCGGATTTTTAAAGAACTATGGAAATTTTAATAAAGCTCGCGCAAAGAAAGAGATAAAAATTTGCGACAGGCCAAAACCCAAATGTGGGTACAGAACCTACGTCTTGGATAATTGGCAGGGAACACTTAACTGTTGTGGCAAAACGTTTGAACGCAGTGGTTCTTTTAAATACCACATTGAAAAAGACCACATCAAGAGCAGAAATTGCCTTAACGATTTAAGGCGATTTAGTACAATTTCTTTACACAATGATGACCTGTCCTTTGATGATGCCATGAAGAGAATAAACGATTGCCTCTCTGACATTGACTCCTGGATGTCAATTAATAAACTAAAGCTGAACAAAGACAAAACTGAATTCTTAATTTTTTCTCCAAAATCAAATCCTCAATCTTCAACAAGTAATCTTGTTTTTGGTTCTGAACTAATATATCCTTCGAAAACTGCTAGAAACATTGGTGTTATTTTTGATTTTTCTTTAACCATGGTTCCTCACATAAAAAATTCCTGCAAGACCGCCTTCTTGTACCTAAGAAATATTGCCAGAATCAGAAAATATCTATCTCTTAAATCGACTGAAATCCTGATACATGCCTTCATCACTTCTAAACTGGATAATTACAACTCTATTTTATATGGTCTACCAAAAAGCATTAGTAATCGTCTACAAACTGTGCAAAACGCCTCCGCTCGCCTTGTATATCTCTCCAGGAAACACAACCATATCACTCCTATTTTAATCAACCTTCACTGGCTACCTGTTGAATTTCGAATAAAGTTTAAAATTCTTCTGGTCTTCAAAGCTTTGAATTCTACTGCCCCTATTTATATCCAAGAACTTGTTCAAAGATATTGTACTTCTCGTAAACTTTGTTCGTCATCTAAGTGTTGCTGTCTGCAAAATCGTATAATCTAAAGTCCTGTGGTTATCGTTCGTTTTCTGTTGCTGCTCCCATATTATGGAACTCTCTACCTGCCTCTATTAGAGTTTTTCTGTATCCTCTGTTCACAGAAGTGGAAAACAGAGGGTCTGTGCTTTAATGCTAATTTCAKCATGCACRTGCAGTATTTGAATTAATGAATTAGCCTGTGTTCACTCACGCATGTATACGCCAGCAGAGTGATTTGCACATGTAGCATTTTACACACGAGTTGCTATTTTTCTGACTGTTTTGGTTGACATAATGGAATTTAGCGATGAAGAAGATGCAGGTTTGACAGGCGAAGAGGTATTCCAAAAGTATTTTGGTGGTAGGTCCATTAATTTATACCTTTATTCGAGACGAATTTTAGAGATAACATGTCATAGAGATTTTTAGCCGGGAATGAGCATTTTTTGCTTTATTTAGTAACTATTTATAATTAACGTCCTTATAAATTCCAATAAAATTCATTATTGGATAGCCTGTATAYTGAGAGTCAAAGTTTAAAAAAAATCAAAATTAATACTGAGGAAACAGTTCAGCAGTGAACAAAACTCACGTGCACGCAAACTCTCACGTGAACTTTCAATTAATATTATTTCTTTAAAAAAAACATTATATATTTGTGTTTTCTTTTTTGTTTTGCGTCCAAGCACGCGAACGCCAGGAGGGGGAATCAACTTTAAAGGCAAATGACTCAACAATTGAGAACGCTCTCAAAGAACAACTTAAAAACAAAGAACAAGAGATTAAAAAGTTACGTAGTCAACTAGAAGCTCATTTAGAGCAACAAAAGCGAGCCAACGCAAAGATTGATTATCTTCTTGCAGAGTTGCAAAAAACCCAGTTTACTTATGATAACTTGCACAAACAACCTAATAAACTTTTTGAATTAACTGGCCTTACAACCGTCGAATTTGACTGTTTGTTTGAATGTACAGAGTCATTTGTTTATCTAGTACAGTATCCAGATTGTAAGAATCAAGGCCTACGAAGACTGGATATGAAGACTGAGCTCATGGTATTTTTCACCATATGTAGGCATGCTTTGCATCTCAGCATTGCAGCGTGGATGACACAGGTAAACTATTTATTCACAGACATATTTTTTCTTCTAGAATTTATTTTATTTTGTTTTAGTCTTTTTGTATTTCAGTGATAAGAAATTATAGGTAAATTTTTAGATGAGGATATTATATACACATCTTTTTTTTAATTTTAGACTAGTGATGGCACAATATCAAGAATATTTACTGCTTGGGCTGTGTTCCTGTCAACTATCTTTGAATGTCTGGACCTTAGCCCTTTGCCTGGATTCATAGAGAAATTTTTGCCTAATGTATTTAAAAGCACAGGCTTTGTTGATACAGGGCTACTGGGGGATGCTACTGAGACATGGATAGGACAGTCAGAGAATTTTGAAGTCAACAATATGGTGATTTGTTGTGCTGCACCGATACATATCCAGGAAGTATATCAGACCATGATATCACTCAACAAAGTGGAGTCCTGGACACACTTAATAAAGGAAAAGTAGTATTAACAGACAAGGGTTTCGACATAGCAGAATTATGCCATTCTAAAGGACTATTACATAACAGACCACCAACGAAGTTTGATGCTCAATATGAACAGGCAGATGTAAGTGCAAACTTTGACATTGCTACATTAAGAATCTACAATGAGAACTATATTGGAAGAATAAGAGACTGGTCCATTCTGAATAGCTGTTGGCCAATGACCAGAATTGACCTTCTTGGACTTTGTTTTAAAATCTTTGCTCATATTGTAAATATGCTCAAGACTCCAGTTGGACCACATTAACAAGTACAACTAAGTATCTAGCTGTAACATTTTTGTTACATATTTCAAATTATATGAAAACATTATTCCGTCATACAGCAGATTCGGGTTGGGTGTTTAATGGGCACCTGACATGTTTGTTATGACAGTTGATCAAGATCAATCCCAKTTTTCATGACAGACACTAATTTCTCCCAATAATGCTGTCTACTGAGTATAGCATCATCTCAAACTTGCTTAGAAATTTTGCCTGGTGCCTATTAACTACTGTAGACCACCTACTCTACTAGGAATGATCTTTTCTATTTAACTGCCCAGTATGTAGTACAAAAATTATACAAAGAAGACTTGTAGTGTCAACCTAACGAACAAAGCTAACTGGTTGAATGTGTTTTGCCATTTTATTTATCCATGACCTTAAACTTTTTGTGTTTTCAAAAGTAGGCTTTTTTCCTTTAAGATTTTGACCAAGCTTAATAAGGTAATTATTTTCTTCATGAGGCCATGAGTCTGCAATTTCCTTGCTTTCTAGAAGGCTATCTGTAATTGTTTTGCAAACCTCGACAAGAAGGTTATCTTTCTGAATAAGAAAAAAGTTAGCACATTTTTGTTCAGGGAGGTAGGACTCTAAGATGGTTATTTGTGCTCCAGTGCATTCCATTTGGAAGTTACATTGTACAATATGCGAAGCAGTAACATTTTGAAGTGGTTTATTGCTCTCCTGAGCTCTTGTTTTGACCTCCACCAAAAATGTTTGTGCCAGGCCATCTGGACTGGCACCATACCTTCTATCAAAGGGATGATGAAAGTATCCAGATTTTGAAACAGGCACACCTATAAAATAAAAAAATAAATTTATGAAAAATAGCCAGATGATATTTCTTGATGTCTACATGTTGAAGCCTCAAAGGACTTTGAAAATTGAAATAGTGATAATGCATTTTTTTTTTTCTTTTATCTTTTACACAGTATTTGTTATGAAGGCTCTGAAAAACAAGTTTCATTGTAAAACCTCTTCACTTTAGCTAAAAGACAAAAGAAAAAGAATTAAGTGCATTATCACTATTTCAATATGAAGTACAGCTAAATGATTAATACTGTTTAATCATCAATCTATAATATTATAACTTCAAACCATACCTGTCATTTCCTCAAAGTGTTCAATTGCCTTTGGTTCAAACTCTACACCTCTTTCGAAGTTCTTGAATCTTTTTGGGGTCAGGGTGCTCTCGTCAACTTTATTGTGAATGCAAAACCATGCTTCATTGAATTGCTTATGTCCACAAAATCCCAATAAACTTGGTAGTTTACTAGCCGTAATAACACCAATTCTTAAAGAATGCCATTCATTTGTTCCCTGTGTAACAGCTATGTAATTGAAGCCACAAGGCTGCACACGCTTGTATGATGGAAGTCTAATTTCATAGGTCCCTGTTTTTGTTTCTGCTGCATTGAAAGATTTTTGGAGATCCAACATCTCACGTTTATTTTCATACATCATTTTTTGGTCTTGCACTATTGGCACTTCTTTGTCAGCATTTAGATCACTTATTAGCTCTTCCTCATTTTCATTAGAAGGTAAGCTGCTTTCAGGCCTGACCTGACTGTGTACATTGCCTTGAGTTATTAGGATGCTGTTATCAAACAAGTTATTCACATTTTGGCAGTAATCATGATCCATAAATACAACCCTTGCTCTCCATGAGTTTCTGTAATGAAGCTCCATAGAAAGCCCAGTTGACATCATTTTATGTTTCATAAGTGTTTTGTAAAAATGTGAGTGTAGCTTTTCTTTGTCTAATCCTACTTTTACTTTTTGGGACATCATTTCAATATCTCGTTTAAAAAAATCATTTGTATCAATATTCTCAGTATCAATCTTTCGTTCCTTTCTTGCATTCCTTTTTCTTCCTCTATTGCATTTTCTTCGTTCTCTTGTTGATCGTGTGTTTCTAAAGGATCTCAAGGAAATGTGTGATGCCTTAGTTGCTATTCCTGCTCTTAGTCCTTTTCTATGCCATTTTTGGAGCTTTTCGGTGCATGATAAAGCAAAGATAGTCGTTTTTGTCTTACTGTAATGTTCTAAAAACATCAATAAAGCTATGATATGACAACACACACCACATTTTCCAATTGGACATGTACAGTGTCCTTTTATCGGAATATTCTTCTCAAACAAAATCACTGCTGGGCGTGTTATTTCATGACCAAAACTTTTGATTATGAATGCTTTTACAAATGTTTTGTTCCCCTCTCGAAAAGATTTCACAGATTTAATCTTTCTTGATAAAAGCATTCTTCGTCCTTTTCTTGATTGTCCTTTGTGTCCCTCTTTTTTAACGCTTGTATACTTAGAAATTGTTTTAGAATCAACTTTGGGATAAAGCGCGGGATCTGCTTTCCAAGCACTAGTGCTTGGTGGAATATCTGTGAGTTCCATGCTTGTACGAAAAACATATGAAGTCTTCACCTGTTTTAAACGCTTTGTTAATAGAACTTTGCTCTCATTTAGAGGCTGCAATCTCTCTATAAGCTCCTGTTTAGTTCCAGATGCTTTAAGTTTTAGCTCAAGTGCAGCACCTTTCAGATCGGGAAGCGTCCATGTTTTCAAGTCTGCCTTGTCTAAATCCTTTGCTTGTTTTTTTAGATCTTTGTTCAAGAGATGTTTTTCAGTAGTTTTAAAAGATTTTGGAATTTTTGACTGCCCGCTATTGGTACAAATAGAGTTTGCACAGTGTGTGGGCGCGACCTTCTTGACCTTCTTGGACGCCATCTTGAATTTTTGTCCNAAAGAATGCCATTCATTTGTTCCCTGTGTAACAGCTATGTAATTGAAGCCACAAGGCTGCACACGCTTGTATGATGGAAGTCTAATTTCATAGGTCCCTGTTTTTGTTTCTGCTGCATTGAAAGATTTTTGGAGATCCAACATCTCACGTTTATTTTCATACATCATTTTTTGGTCTTGCACTATTGGCACTTCTTTGTCAGCATTTAGATCACTTATTAGCTCTTCCTCATTTTCATTAGAAGGTAAGCTGCTTTCAGGCCTGACCTGACTGTGTACATTGCCTTGAGTTATTAGGATGCTGTTATCAAACAAGTTATTCACATTTTGGCAGTAATCATGATCCATAAATACAACCCTTGCTCTCCATGAGTTTCTGTAATGAAGCTCCATAGAAAGCCCAGTTGACATCATTTTATGTTTCATAAGTGTTTTGTAAAAATGTGAGTGTAGCTTTTCTTTGTCTAATCCTACTTTTACTTTTTGGGACATCATTTCAATATCTCGTTTAAAAAAATCATTTGTATCAATATTCTCAGTATCAATCTTTCGTTCCTTTCTTGCATTCCTTTTTCTTCCTCTATTGCATTTTCTTCGTTCTCTTGTTGATCGTGTGTTTCTAAAGGATCTCAAGGAAATGTGTGATGCCTTAGTTGCTATTCCTGCTCTTAGTCCTTTTCTATGCCATTTTTGGAGCTTTTCGGTGCATGATAAAGCAAAGATAGTCGTTTTTGTCTTACTGTAATGTTCTAAAAACATCAATAAAGCTATGATATGACAACACACACCACATTTTCCAATTGGACATGTACAGTGTCCTTTTATCGGAATATTCTTCTCAAACAAAATCACTGCTGGGCGTGTTATTTCATGACCAAAACTTTTGATTATGAATGCTTTTACAAATGTTTTGTTCCCCTCTCGAAAAGATTTCACAGATTTAATCTTTCTTGATAAAAGCATTCTTCGTCCTTTTCTTGATTGTCCTTTGTGTCCCTCTTTTTTAACGCTTGTATACTTAGAAATTGTTTTAGAATCAACTTTGGGATAAAGCGCGGGATCTGCTTTCCAAGCACTAGTGCTTGGTGGAATATCTGTGAGTTCCATGCTTGTACGAAAAACATATGAAGTCTTCACCTGTTTTAAACGCTTTGTTAATAGAACTTTGCTCTCATTTAGAGGCTGCAATCTCTCTATAAGCTCCTGTTTAGTTCCAGATGCTTTAAGTTTTAGCTCAAGTGCAGCACCTTTCAGATCGGGAAGCGTCCATGTTTTCAAGTCTGCCTTGTCTAAATCCTTTGCTTGTTTTTTTAGATCTTTGTTCAAGAGATGTTTTTCAGTAGTTTTAAAAGATTTTGGAATTTTTGACTGCCCGCTATTGGTACAAATAGAGTTTGCACAGTGTGTGGGCRCGACCTTCTTGACCTTCTTGGACGCCATCTTGAATTTTTGTCCGGTCTCGTACCCAGACCCTCCCGGTATGAAAGTCGGCAATGATTTATGAAAAGGCAAACTCAGCATACGCTCAATTTGAATTGAACGAATCCTAAAAGTTTGCAGTTTTCAAAATAAACTTCACGATGTTTCCCCGTGTATCCCTAACACTATTAACAAACACTAAAAATCAGCTCAATCAAGCTCACACGTCTTTAGTGTCTGGAATTAAAATGAAAAGTAAACGTGACGCCTGATTCACAAACATTGTTGTCACTTTTAAATTACAGGCAAGCGAAAGAAGAGCGCAAGTGACACAAGCAGAAAACAGTCGGGGAATAGAAACACAATTACAGACATAGAGATTACTCTCTACAGAAAAGCGATAGTAATGTGTGGAAATGATTGGAAGAAGATTCTTCAATTCATTTGTAGCCATAAAGACATCCTGGAGAAGAACGTGGTGGACAAATACGACTTGGCTCTGAAAAACATCAGCGACAAAAACCTGACTAAGTCCATTAGAAATCGACTGGGTAATGTTGGCCGAAAAGCAAGAAATTCTACCGAAGTATCTCGAAGGGAGGAGCGACATGTGTTGGATCAAGGCGTGTCATCTACGTCAGAAGACGTAATAAAGGCTATGGGGGAAGGGAAGACAGCTGAGAAAAACGACCCGTTAAATTTGAATGTATACGACTCGATGGATGATGAAGCCTCTGTCGACGATGGACAAACTTCAGACACAAATGTACAAGTGTCCCCTGAAATCACTCCTGGTCCTAGTTCACCGGGCTTACCACCTACCCCAAAAAAGCCGAAGAAAACACATAAGGCAGGAAAAGACCCAATGTCAAAACTCCATGCAAGAGCTGAGTCTCTACTGGATGTTGGAATGGCAACAGCCAAGATGCACATGAAGTTTTTAAGAAAGAGTGCGGCAAGCCAGGGATTTTCCATTTCGGATTCAGACACTGACTAGTATAGCATGCAAAAGAGAATGCTCTAAAACAGTTTCATATAATCATGATAGTGATGAGTTGTCATTATTCTTTTTATATAAGCTATTTTAGATAGATTTTCTTTTCAGTTCACTGATGAATCCATGTTCCTTCAAACACCACGCCGCTTTAAATCCTCCCTATTTTGTTATGCCAAGAAGTCAATAAATACTTCTATTTTTTACTTCTAGACTCAAAATTTTCCAAAAGTATAATTTGAAATCAGTACGGTAATCAAGTAAGACTTAGTTTTATATGATTTACCTATCATCAGTTATGTTCTGGTGTAAGTCCTAAAGATTAGGGCTTTATAGAGTATCAGGCTAGGCATAAGTTATCAGTGCCGCGTACTAGAACATCACGATTTTATATCTCATATATATTTCTATGCAGCTGTTCTTATATGCATATTATTTGTAAATTAGTAGATCGTTAATGTAAAGGTGACTATTGCAGATTGGTATCTCACAGTGGACTCTAGCAATTCATATCAAATTGAATCACATGATTCACATAATCGACAATCAATTATGTTTATATAAAATATGCATGTCTTAAACATTGCTAGTTACAGTTGATCTGCAATAAATTCCTTATTTCACTCTAATGCTTTGACTGATACATGCTATATTCTCTAATTGACACATAAATCGAGTCGTTTTCATCTAAAAATAAAACAGTTTCACATAACCGATACCTTTGACTAAATCTGGAGCAAAGTCACGTTTATTTCTCATGAAAAACTCGACAGCAGAATTAAAATTTTATCATTTTTTTACATCAGTCACAAGACGATAAACCTGCATCTTAAGTTTCAAATCAATCGACGTCGTCTGTTTGTAAGGGCAACAACTAAGTAAGTGACAACACTGACAAACTGCCTCCAGCTTCTAAATCTTCCTGCTCTGCCAGGAACACTCCGGTAAATACGTACATCTCCAATCCTATTCTCTACCCGCACTCTAGCCCTTCCAAGCTCGACATTTGCGCGGTAGCAGGCAGGGCTCAAGCGTCCTCCTCTTTGACATCTGAAAGGTGTCAAAAGAGGATTCACAGCTGGGTATCCACCATCTGCCAACAGGTATGCGTCTTGTGGAAGAGGGAGCTGTCGTCTATGACCCATGGCTGGCAACCGCCTAAAGGAATCGGCATCAGTAGCATGTCCAAGAAATCCGCCACGAACAAGCCTAAAAAAGCCATCATTGTCGACAATGACATGAAAAGTGATAGCCTCGGTCTCTCCTATAATACAAGAGCTGAACATCACGGTTCTGTGGCCTGTTAATCTGAACAGCAAAGGCATCAATTGCTCCTACAGTGTTTGGAAACTGCTCGTATTCATTCCGTTGTAATTGCCATGATTGCTCGTCAATCCAGTCTACATATTGATGATAGTGTTCGTATAAAATTGGGACCACGGTGTAGATAATGTCACTGACACTGCTAACTGAAATGTCAAACTGCTGACTGAGTAACGTAAATGTTGGGTAATTTCTAAGCCATAAGAAACAAAGCAGCACTCAAAGTTTTATAAAATATAGGTCCGTGTTCATCCCTTGAACATAAGGAGTCAATACATAGTTGTGGTTGGTATTACTTGATGGATAGTGTCCTCCTTAGTATATGTCCTGTACTAAGGAGCACAATCTTCTGTAGCGCACAATCTTCTGTAGCTCTACTATTTCAAGGTCTTTTTGAGTAGTAATAGTAGTAGTAGTGGTGGTGGTGGTGGTGGCGGCCCCGGGGCAATTTTGCTTTTTAAAAACGCGTCATGTCCCCGTTCAGTGCCCCGCTAGCCTCGGGGGTTTCAATTGACTAGTGCATAAAAAACACTCGTCATAGACAAGACACATTTCTTTGCATATTTCAAACAGAGCACTATTTTCTCACAGTTGCAATGACACTTTTCTTGTGAAGAAATAAACTGATTTCAAATACAAAGCAATCTGCAGTTGTTATTGTTTTATGGTAAAGTATGTACGATTCAAAATTGGATCAAAGAGCAATCACCCTCTACTTAATGTCAGGGTCTCTCGCAAAATAATAATTATTCAATCAAGATTAATAATTCATGTCTTATTTCAAAAATGTTGGTCTAGTTGGTTGACCTTGTAAATATTTGCGAATACAACATTTAAACACAACTTCAGTGAATAACCTTTGTGTAATGGACTGGGTTACTTAACAAACTAGATGCTTGTAAAGCGTGATGCGGGCTAGCTTAGCAAAAGATTTTCAATACAAGATAAAATTGTATCTCCAATGAATATTGTGACTATGACGTAACTATATATGAAAGTAAAATATGCCCTAGAATACCTTAGTTTTCTTTGCAGTTCAATTCTTATCGTGCACTGCAATATTCTTTTCTGGAAACTAATCGTTAACCTTCACTGTCTGCTATAATCTTATCATATATCAACTATCAACCATAATCTTTTTGCTATAGTGATTTAGCCTACGTTACATCCCAGAAATTTCACAAATACCGGGATATATCGAAGAATATTCCGCATGTAACGCAGGCTATAATGATTGTCCTACATTTGCAATGTATTTTGTAATAATATCTATGGATGAAGCTCTTTACTTCTTGGTTAGCGATATCACATTATTATTTACATAGCAATGCATTTTCAATGGCATGGGTGCATTCTTTAAATTATTTTGTTTTTATTAGCCTTTCTTTCRTACAAAAGAAATCTAAAAATTGAAGCAAAACAAAGTTCAATTTCAAAACTTGTAAGCTTACTTTGTCATTTTTAACTAATAAAAAACCCCGATGATATTAAAGCAATTTCTTTGAATTTGAACAATAAAAACATTGTCATTTAAACAGAAAAATACCTTTTGCTGTCTATAAATGTGGAAAAAAGCCAGTATTTGAGCTGATTTCATGTTGAAGCTGTACTGAATAATCATCGAGCTGGACTGGTGAGGAAGGCAAGACTATTTTCGATGCAAAATCATCGTTTTAAAATGATAACTAGCAAGGTTGAAACTTCACAAATGCAATATCCTAGTTCAATTCTTCAATGAGAAAGCTTTTGGTATTTCTTGTTGATAGTTTTTGAGTACTTTTTTCTCTGTTATCAGCAAAGTACCCGCCATTTTGGATTCTTGAGAAAATTTTCAGTTCGAGAGAGACTGCAAACTAATAGACATGATAGATATGGCTTCCCTATGGTTCGAGAGAGACTGGAAACTGCGACACGACAGGAAAAAAGGTAAAACTATAGCTGGCTAGCACAGCTAGCCCGCTAAAAAATAATGTTCAGCCGTGGTTTATACTCTCATAAACCACACTTTTTTGGCGCATTAGAAATCATCTATATAATAAAATTCAGTTTGAAGTTGATGTCAGTATCGCTTGGGATTCCTGTCCCGGAAGTCAACAGGTGCTCCACTAAAAGAGCTTACTTCTATAAATTTGCAAAAACACTTTTTTTCTTTCGTGTTTTATCCAAACTCCTATTGGTAATTAAAGTGTTTTAAAACTAATATACATTTCCCGCCTATTTATGATTAGCACATTATTTACACACTGTGCTCTGAACGTCCAAGTCGCCCCATAGAATATTATCCAGTCCGGCTTTGGGAACAGGCGTTAGAAATAAGAAAAATAAAAGAATCAATATTTCCCAAAGTTCTTCATTTTTACTCCTAGATACTACAGTTGTTAAGGTGAAGGTAAGCATAATCACAAAGTTATAGAGGATATTAGGCGCGTGGAGATATAGAGGATATTACATGGGTGTGCTGTGATACAGATCTCCGCAGGAGTCTTCTCTAAGTCAAGAGAATCAACTGTGCTCTGACAATGAAAAATGGCGTGCCTTGTTTTACAGTCTTTAATGATATAGCCTGCAAGGTGTCATAGCTAAAAGTCAATCATGTAATTAAGAGTGACCGCATTTGAATGGTTGGGCTCAGCTAATGCGCTTATATTTTTATTGCTATTCATATTATTTCTATTTATCTATTTATTTTATTTTACTTTTCTAGATGGAGATGGACAAAGAGATTTATCAAACAAAAAATATCCACTTTTGGACGGATGAAGGTAAATCATTGGACGTACAGTACTCTCTGCATACATCATACACATTATACATTTTTTAGACAGCAACTGAATGTTATACATAATGAAAATGAATTCATGCACCACAGTTGCAATACCTTCTGTTGAATGGTCAGTTAACAAAAGACATTTTTACCAAAATTAATTTTCTCTGTTATAACGAGCAATCAAGTTTGAAAATTGCTATTGTCAAAGGCAAAGGTAGAGTTTTTAAACTAAAAACAAAAAACAACAACAATGCATTAAAATAACAATTCATTTTTACTCCTAGATACTACAGTTGTTAAGGTGAAGGTAAGCATAATCACAAAGTTATAGAGGATATTAGGCGCGTGGAGATATAGAGGATATTACATGGGTGTGCTGTGATACAGATCTCCGCAGGAGTCTTCTCTAAGTCAAGAGAATCAACTGTGCTCTGACAATGAAAAATGGCGTGCCTTGTTTTACAGTCTTTAATGATATAGCCTGCAAGGTGTCATAGCTAAAAGTCAATCATGTAATTAAGAGTGACCGCATTTGAATGGTTGGGCTCAGCTAATGCGCTTATATTTTTATTGCTATTCATATTATTTCTATTTATCTATTTATTTTATTTTACTTTTCTAGATGGAGATGGACAAAGAGATTTATCAAACAAAAAATATCCACTTTTGGACGGATGAAGGTAAATCATTGGACGTACAGTACTCTCTGCATACATCATACACATTATACATTTTTTAGACAGCAACTGAATGTTATACATAATGAAAATGAATTCATGCACCACAGTTGCAATACCTTCTGTTGAATGGTCAGTTAACAAAAGACATTTTTACCAAAATTAATTTTCTCTGTTATAACGAGCAATCAAGTTTGAAAATTGCTATTGTCAAAGGCAAAGGTAGAGTTTTTAAACTAAAAACAAAAAACAACAACAATGCATTAAAATAACAATGCATTGTGATCTTGGAATGCATTATGCAGCTGATGATTGTTGAGAGATGATGCATGATCCAAAGGAACTATGGTTACACTGTTTTGACAAACCAAAATTCACTTATTGGATTCACCTTACATAGAAATGGTGACAAAATGAAGCCAATGTCTACCACAGACCATCTTACAGTACAAATCAGTTGTTATTGCCTTTTAATTAACTTTCGGTCGTGCAATCGCCGTTAACCTCGATAATTGGCATTCACCATTTTATCTGACCTTTTTTGAAATAGCTATATAGGTGTATATACAGTCAAGAAATTCTGAATTGCAAATATTTTATATATTTTCAAACGAGAGTATATATCATCATTGTGATTGTGATTTTTGTTATTTTATTATTAGTTCTTGTCAGTTGATGAACTGGAAATAGTTCAAGCTGCTAGAGAGAGTCGTTTACTTGAGGTAGACAAATATAAAAAATGTGTATTTTGTACACGTATTCTTCAAAGTTAAATAGACATGCTTCGCTACTGACTCGTGACATCTTCAGCCTTGTAAGGGTGGCGTGTGAATATTATTTAGGATAACATGTTGTGATTCCCCAATCTTTTTCTCAAGGTGTTATGAGGTTGCAGGTTTTGTGAGTTCTTTTGCGATATTGTCGTTCTTCACTTCCACTCGGCCTCATGGGCTATTAGCTTGTAGTCCACTCGACCGAGAGGTCTAATTGTTTTAGTATAAACATACTAATTGGTCAAATAATGAAAACAAATTGAAATATCCTTAAAATAATTTATTAATGAGATTGATTTTCCCACAAATTAGACCATTAGTAGAGTAGCCAATCACAGCGCAGTATGAGTGATAGACCATTAATATGTTTAAACTAACACTTTATTAGAAACGTTTTATGATTTTAATAGAATGAACTTAGTTACCCTTTTTCACTATAGTGAAGTCAAAAGTTACTTTTCTCTATAAAACTCGAGTCCACGTAAAAGACGTGATGGAAGCTTTTCTTGACGATGGATCTGGAAGAATTCCCATTGACATATGGGAATCACATATCGAGACTATAAAACCTGGTAGGTACCTAAGACATTAAAACGTTTATAATATTTCAAATATAGTCAACTAAAAAGTTTGTATTACCATTTCTATTATTTCAATTTTGCAGAGCAAGTTTATACACTAACCAACGTCCAAGTTAGAGTATGGCCCAGAAGAAAGAAGCTTTCAACTACAATTCCTTCTGTTGTCCAACCATTTGATGATCCCACATTACGTGAACTCCCTACTGAGAATGCCGAACAAGAGCAAACCATGACAATCAGGACAGTCGATTCAATACAGAGGGTATTTTGCCAAAAGAAAATTATCCAAGTTCATAATAAAAAATATTTGACCTATCTTGATTGAATTTTGAAATCTTAGCAACCTGTTTGAAAATTCCCTTCTCATAGTCTTACTTACTTTCTGAAATAATTACTACCAGATTCGATGAACTGCGAACACCGCATTAAAAACGATTGATCGTAATTTGAATTTCTGTCAACTCACGTGACCATATGGAAGGTCCCAAAAGGTCACATGATATTAGAAAAAGGCATTCGCTGCGTAAGATAGCGGAATACCAGCTGAAAGTCTTTTACGGAGAACACTTTTCAAAATGTGGATTGTTCTTCATGAATGGCAATGAATCGTATTCAGATT